CATAGTAAAATTAATACCTTCTCAGCTTCGCATCGAAGCTAAAAAATAAACAACAACGATTTGTTCACATTTTACTATTTGTAATACAATTTTGTAACAATATTTTTTGCATAATTATCATTGATAGAATAATTCAATTATGACATGAACACGAGTCTGCATATTTGTGAGTTGTGACAGATTAAGAAAACATCTTAGAAGAATATATTTCATCGCACGAAATATTAAAGGCAAAAGACGTTACAAAGCACGCGGTGCATATTATTTATTTTCTGAATAAAAAGTAATTCGATTGTTTCTCGTCTTACTTGAAATTGATATCAGTGCAATCTACTTTCATTGAGGTTAACTGTACACAGTTCCCAACGAGACGCTTGTTTATTTTGTCTAAAAATAAATTTAAGTAAAAATCGATTAATATTTTCAACTAAAATTCCTACGGATGGCATAATAGTTCACGACTTACCATCGCTATCGGCAGAGAAACTGTTTTTTTTTTTGGACATAGTGGTAAAAACAATAACCTACGCAAACCGGGACGACGATACTCGCCGGCTTACAGTTCTTAGACTATTCGGAACAGATGTTATGCGAGAAATTCCGGGACCCAGCTATGTTCGAGAACCGTTGCCCGTACACGAAGGCCGAATGTTCACGTTTCTGCGACCACCGCGATTTCCTGACAATCGTATTGTGACAATTGTCAGGTGCGGATGATTTGCCGAGCACCGAGATCGTCGGGACGGCCAAAGTGGACGTGCCGGAATTCAAATCCGTACAGAGAGGCACTTCTGGAGGGATTTCCAAAATCGAGCTAGACGTGGACGTAACAGCGGAAGACATGCGCTTAGCGGCTGTCGTATGGTTCGGTTGAGAACCGCAGGTCCCGTGTGGTCCGGGCCGTTGCGGATACGCGAAGATGCCAATGTTGAGAAATCAAAACATTGCGGGGACAAAAAAAAAAAGGAATAGAAAATGTTGCAAACGGACGTGTAAGTACACGGAACCCGACGAAACCAAAACGCCTAGACCGGAAGAGCAGTTCTCGTCGATCGGATGCGAATTCAATGGACACAAAATCTACTTGAAGATGAGGAAGAAGAGCGTAGAGTCGTGTATACCGGAGAGACGAGAAGCGAAAAAAATTGAGAAATTCAACAGAAAACTGATGCTGCTTATCCACCACAATAATCCATCAATTTTTTAAAATTGAACACTATCTAAAGATTTGCATCGAAACGTTTATTGTGATAGTGATTTTAATTTTTTCAGATATCATTATACAAGATCCAACTATGCCACGTCACCACTGTGTTGCGATCCCCCTGTGCTGGGTTTTTTTTTTATATAAATGTGTAGTATTAAATGGATGGTGCAACAACAACACATGTCTGA